ACAGGAGATTTCTGCCAAGTTTACCTGCACAGTAGAGATCAGTCTGTTAATGCCCTGACCCCACCTGCTGAAGGAACAGTTTGGCATCTAACAGGAGTAAGTCCAAGCACCCTTCACTCTAACAGCATCCAAAAATCACATGTTCTGGGTGCTGCCTGGTCTGAAAAATGGTTCTGGTTTCACACACAATGGATGCCAGCAATCACAGGCCAGAGACATGTCTGGGCAGAGATTCTGCAAGGAATAAAGTCATGGGTCTGTCTGCTAACGACCCTGTCTCCACCTTAAAACCATACACAATGGCAATAATGGGTCTCCAGGAAAAGACATTGTTTCACCTTAACTAAGCAGTTCCTCACCTGTCCTGATCTTTCCTGATTTGTTTACCATAATTATGGGACCACTTAACACCTTTCAGCCATCCCCGGCAACTTCCCCTTCTAACAACAGAGGGTCGTTAAGCACCTATTAGCTCCATTTATGTACAATATCCAGATGGTTGTCAGTTTCCTGGGAACGCTATTCAGCATTTCCAACACACTGTTTTACTTCCAGCTAATCCCATCAGCATGCCCTCAGGTAGCATTTTGGCCTGTAACTGGACAAATGCAGCTCCGTTACTGTGTGTCTGTCCTGAGCACCTACTGACAGTTCACCCCCACATTCATTTGGGTTCCTTTCCATCTTCACAGCCTCTTCTCTGTGGACTTCTGCACATCTGGACAGGCAGCTATAACCCTCAACAGCCTATTATTCCCGCTCACCTCTGTATTTCCATTACTTGTGTAACATGTGTTTTATTTGTGTAGGCACGCATTTTATTACGATTTCTTTTTAATAAAAACAACCTTTTTGGTTAAGCAACTGCCCGGTTCTTTTCTGGGAGTTTCTAAGAGGCAAAGATCCTCGTAAACGCTGGTATCCTATTTCGCTTGTTGCTCCCCTCGCACAAGCTTCTGTCTCCATCACTAATTCACTCCAACAAAAACAGGAGACACCCCCCTTTGGGCAACCCATAGCATTTGGGGTAACAAGTCTGGAGCTTGTGTCAGGTTTCAGGAAGCTGCAGCACTTCAGAAAGCAAACCAGAAGAGCAGCACAGTGCGGGAAGGAAGTGTAAAGGGTACCAGCAAAACCGCAGGAGTATGCAAAGTGGCTGGCTTTTGTATGCAAGCTTCCTGATTGCACAGATATTTCCCAGCGCATTGCCACACTCTTCTAGATTAAGCAACAAGTGCTCAGTGGCGTCTTGCTGCTCCTATGCTGGCACACAGGACAGGTTTTTTCCCCAGTCAGAAGAATACTCTGGGAAGAGATTGTCTTGATAACTCGATGCCTGGAGAGGACTCGTCAGCATTTTTATCGCATTTTGTTCCTGTAAGAACTATCAGGAAGTTCTGGACTGAGCAACTGTCAGACCTCAAATCACATGGCTGGTTTGAATGGCTCCCCTGGGTGACAGATGTGACATGAATGAGTGAAGGGATGCACAACAAGCACACACAATGTCCTAAATTCAATCCTGGGAATATCCACAAGGGAGATCAGGAAAAACAAGGCTCGGAGAACTATTCAACTAGAGGGACCACTAGTCTTTGAATCAGCTCACCCTCTTTCTGAGAAGCATGGGAGGAGCCAAGCAAATGACTAGGTGCCATGTTAGGAAACCCTGTGCTACTCTACTACGATGACGCATGAGATAAGTGGTATATTCCAGGTGTTTTTTACTCACCTTTTAGAAAAGGTTTGCTACTGCAAGATGGAAAGAGGAGTGCATAGTGTGTTGGGAAGGGGAGGCCAAGAGACTCATTCTTTTCCTCTCTTATCATTAATTGCTTTTGCCCTTGGTTATATAAACACTTCATTCTAAAGGTTGCTTTGGCAGCGTGTTTGTGCAAACAAACCCGTTGGATTGGTGCTCCTAAAGGACTTCGCATGTTATCAACATGCTAACTGAACTACAGCAGCTTCTGCTTCTGGGGGTTTTCAGAAAAGGGGGGGAACACAAAAGGCGCTTGCTCTTGTGTACGCGAGCCGGTTCTTCATAACCTCACAACTGAGGCGACTGATGAACCAACCTGCGCACCAAATCCCATGTCTTGCTCCTCCCCAACTGCTTACTGCTGCTTCTAGCTGGTGAAAAATGTTAATTCGATGTTAAATGCACCCAGCAAGAGCAGCCGAAAGAGAGGAAAGAGCAGGACGCACATGGGATTCACTGTGACGTTCGTCTGTCAGTTGAGTTGCAAAGTCAAGCTTGCAGCTCAGCTGAAGAACACGCTGTAAATCCCTTTGTTGTATTACATCTATTTTCCGCCAAACACATATAACCCTTACATTTCCATGTGGACAGTTAATTGCAGGTTTTTAGGGAGAAGAGGAAATAGGGTTGCCAAGTCTATTTACCTTGGCGGCAGGGGAGCCTCGCCGGGCTCCGGGAGCCGTAGGTGATGCGCTATGTCGATCTCGTTGGGGGCGTGGCCCCGATCATCAGAGGGAAAACCATAGAGTTTTCCCTCCGACGATCGGGGCCACGCCCCCAACGTGATAGACATGGTTGCGTTACCTCTGGTGACGCAGCCACACTGCGCTTCGGGAGGCGGAGTTCCCCCCGGGGCCCAATTCCGTGGTGGCGGAAATCGGGCCTCCAAAGCAGGGGTTTACCCGCCACTTGGCAGCCCTAAGAGGAAAAGAGAAAATTCACATACTGTGCAGAGTAACTTTCCTTCAAAGACAAAGTCCCTGTCATGATCTGGATGCAGACCACTATAGGAAGAAACTGAAACTTGTCATTTTGTGGTAAGACCTACTTTTTGCATCGTTTCTAATTTTTGTAATCCCAATCCTGCTGCAATCACTTATTAGACATCTCATGCTATTTGCCTGCATTGTTTTACACTGGCTAATTTATTTTATTTTATTTACTTCCAATTTATACCCCGCCTTGCCGGTAAAAACTGGCTTGAGTCTCAGTGTGAAAGGCAGGCTATAAAGTAAATAAAAGACCTGCCAAATAAACTTTCCCCTTACTTGCCTTGCCTTCTCTGACACTTTGCTTCAGATACAATGGAAGGCTAACAGCAGGAGGGAGCTGCAGGCCCAGCGGTCCCTTGCCAAATCTCACCTCAGCCCAGAAACTCGCAAAATTAGGCAACTCCTTCCTCTGAAACAGAAGAATTGTACCCACTCTCAGCTTTTAGAGATGCATTCTATTTAAAAAATTTAAATGAATGCAAATACACCCTGGCCTACTTTATATGACTAGTGTATCTGTTGTCGGGTGGCCAGTCAGACTCTGGGCTGGAAGATCTGGACCTGGCGTTACAAGCTGTGGCTTAGGTTGAGTTGATTGAAACTGAATCCGATGAAAACTAAGGTTCTGTGCCTAAGTTGTAGCAGCCCGAGGTTAGGGATCCCAACCTTCGATGGGGTGCCTTTGGTGCCAGCGCTGGAGGTTAAGAGCTTGGGAGTGCTCTTGGATGCCTCCTTAACTATGGAGGCCCAGGTAGCAGCCACTGTTAAGTCAGCCTTATATCATCCCCGGCTGATTAGGCAGTTGGTTCCCTTCCTCGAAGTCAATGACTTGGCGACAGTGATCCATGCTATGGTCACCTCAAGATTAGACTACTGTAATGCTCTCTACATGGGGCTGCCCTTGACCCAAATCCGGAAGCTTCAGCTGGTACAGAATGCAGCGGCCAGGCTGTTGCTGGTACTCCCCATGCGGGAGCACATCCAGCCTGCACTGGATGCACTGCACTGGCTACCTATAGCGTACCAAATTCGTTTCAAGGTGCTGGTGCTTAAACCCTTTATGGTCAGGGACCTACCTACCTGAGGGACCACCTTTCCCCACATGTTCCCCAGAGAGCACTATGGTCAGGGTCTCAAAATCGTTTGGCCCTCCCTGGCCTTAAGGACGTCAAGCTGGCATCGACTAGGCCTTTTCAGTGGCGGCTCCAACCTGGTGAAATGAGCTTCCGGAAGAGATCAGGGCCCTGTGGGACCTATCACAGTTCCGCAGGGCCTTGAAAATGGGAGCTCTTTTTTTTTAGGTAAGGAGCCGCACTTCACCATCTATGCCCTGCGCCAATATCAGTATCCAGCCTGAGATTGCTGACAGTGGAATCGATTGTTGACTGTATATTTGTTCTGCTTAGTATGTACTCTGCTCTGCTACTATTGTACCGCCACCGCCATCTAAACTGTTTTTTTAAAGTAATTATGTTTGTGTGTTTTATGCTGCTATTTAAATTGTTGTTTTATCTGTTGCTATTTTTATGTAAGCCGCCCTGAGCCTGCCTCGGCGGGGAGGGTGGGGTACAAATCAAAATAATAATAATAATAATAATAATAATAATAATAATAATAATAATAATAATAATAACAATAACAACAACAACAACAACAAAATGGAGATGCCTCTACCACAAAGCCATGGCCCCTTCCCTCCTAAGAATGAAGAGTAGCCCCCTCCCTGGCTGGTGGTTACAAATAAAGAGGGATGGGTTTGGAAGCACCGTTCAAGTCAGATCTTCATATGCTCTCTGACTCCAGCCATTAATGATCCTATTACTGTCTACCTAGACCCCTCTGCAGCCTATTTTCTTAGTCACACCAGGGTGTGACAGAATATTAGGACAAAGATGGGAGGAGAGGAATCCTCTATTTAAGGGGCTCCTATCTCACAGATCCAATCCAGGACATGGTACAAGAGGAGCAGATTACTGATGGAACCATAATAAGCAAAGGTAAGATCCTGCAGCGCTTCCTGCAGAACTGTCAATGCCAAATTTTTAAAAAATAAATAAATCAGGATACAGCGTGCGAATGTATACACTTCTTTGTCCGCTTAAAAGATTTACACTCCATGCTCCCTAAAATCTGACTGAGGCTGTTCTATTTTCTGGCACTTGGGAGTATAAAAGCTTCTGCTCAGGACAAATTACCTTTTAATTTATCCTGCACGTGAGATATGCAAAAGTGGGTAACATTCCTACCTGAAGCCGTTTTCTTCCAGCAAAGGAAGGTGCACCTTGAGGTGGCAATGCTGGGAAAGAATCGTCCTTCTTGAGACCCTGCGGAACCACGGACAATGAGAATGCACAAGACAGGGCTAGAGAGAATAAGGGCTTGACAGGATAAGGCAACTTTATACATTCAAATAACAAGCTGGACCTATTGGCTAGTTCCCGTGACAAACAGCAAACTTCCCCTGTACTGGTCAAATCTAGGACACTTTTGAAAATTTTTTAAAGGTAATTTTCCCCCCCAAATATGCAAGAAATAAAAATCATATTCACGGACATTCTCATAGCAGAGTTGCTAACCACAAGGAGGGGGGGGAATTATCTTGCCCCTTTAGCAAAGGCTTAATCTGTGGAAATGGGCAGTTGAAATGTTTCCACTGCATGGAGGTAAATTCCATTTGGTAAAAAATATCCCATTAAGACTCTGTTAAAGGGAGAGGACTTTTTTTTCCAGGCATCTGGCAATGTGAGCTCATACAGCAAAACAGGGTTGAACTGGGAATGAGAAGACTTGAGTTCAAATTCCCAACTCATCCCTGAAGTTCCCCGGACTGCATTAGGCCAGTCAGTGGCTCACATAGGGCTGCCAGGTCTGGGTTCGAAAATACCTGGAAACTTTGGGGGTGAATCCAGGAGAGGGTGAGGTTTCAGGAGGGGAGGGGCTTCAGCATGGTACAGTGCCATAGAGTCCATCCTTCAAAGTAGCCATTTTCTCCAGGGGAGCTGATCTCTGTCAGTTGGAGATCAGTTGTAAAAGCGGGAGATCTCCAGGCCCCACCAGGAGGCTGGCAACCCTAGGCTTACACGATTGTTGAGACAGTAAAATGAGAATACGCTCTTAACTGGACAAAGGTAGAATGTCAATGCAATACACAAAACTTTAGCCTGTGACCAATGTTCCCTCTAAGCTGTGGAGTCTTGTGAGCAAAAATTCTACTTCGTGAGCTACTGGCATTAAAGTTGTGAGCGAGCGATTTGGCTGCTGCATAAATTAGTTTGTTCTAGAGCCCTCCTTTCTGAGCTGAGACAAAAATGTGTGAGCCGGAGGCTAAAAAACTATGAGCTAGCTCACACTAACTCAGCTTAGAGGGAACACTGCCTGTGACTGGTGTGAGGGCCAGTTTCCCTCACCTGGCTATTCAGTCATTTCTAAGTTCAGGTTGAAGGCCCAGTTCCAAGGCCTTCCCCTGCACCCCAGCCTTTAAGTATCTTCCGCTTCCCTCTAGGCCTAGGAGTTTCACAGTATCCAGGTCTGTAAAACAATACTGCTCTTTGACTTCTCTGCCAAGTGCCAGACACCTTAGATGCATGATACTAAAAATAAAAACATTGTTGAAGGAGCACACCTTTATCCGAGTCAACTTAAACATGATCTCCCTGCAGACACAGCAAGAATCTCACACAAAAGGATTTCCAGAAAATATGCCATTCTCAGAGCAATGCAGAAAAAGGGGGGGGGGCACACCAAGGCAAAACGAAGGTGAGAAGATAAATGGTGCAAAGGAAAGAATCATTAATGACTGTATAACTCCTACACGTTTCACGTGCATCTTCGTCAGGGGAAATCTATCAAAATAGTACAAATGTTAAAGTATATCCAATGGGGCACTTTCCCTGTGGGCATTGCTGCGTCTGTAGAAATACAAAATCTATGAAATATTTTATCAGTCGTACAGACAAGAAACAATATTACCTTAAAGATTTCACAACTTGCAACAGTGATCACGTGGTCTATGCAATCTCATGTGGATGTGGGAAACTGTATTTAGGCAAGACGAACAGACCTCGTAAATTAAGACTCTCTGACACAAGAGTAATATATCACATAAAAGAATTGGTGCTCCCCTGGTAGAACATTTTCTAGAGCACAATCACAAACCCACAGACTTTTTGGTTTGGGTTATAGTTAAATGTAAGAGACAGGATGACGGAATTCTGTAGAGGAAAGAGGCTGAATGGATTTTGAAACAGGGAATTCTACCCTAAAGGGTTAAATGAGAACATCTCCTGGCAGACACTCATGTAGATAAGAGCTAAGACATGGCCAGACACCTCACTCTGCTGAAAGGTACATGTGGGAAAGGATCTAAAAAGAATCTTGAAAGTTGGTATGAATTTTAAACAATTTAAATGAAGAATTTCATGTGATTCTGTAATATGTAGTGGATGTTACTGCTAGTTCTGTTGTCTTAATATAAATAATTTTGTGAATTGTACTCTGTACATGCTCTGTGAAAATGTCCTGTGTTTTATCAATATGTTTTAATTGCTTTTGAAATGTGCGAAATATACTTTTATATTTGTATAATTTTGATAGATTTCCCCTGACAAAGATGCATGCAAAAAACACTTAGGGGTTATGCAATCATTAAAGATTCCTTTGCACCATTTGTCTTCTCACCGCCGTTCTCAGAGCAGCCAAGCCATTCACAACAGCTACTGCCAACAAGTTGTTGCTGCTGTTACTGTTAATCCTGCCAGGCCTGAGTGTCTGTAGACAACTTTGCTTACTTTGAGATCTCTGAGGCTGTAAAATGCTCAGTGGCCCAAAGTTAATCACAGCCAGAAACCACGGCCTTCCAAGAAGCTTTTTTTAAAAAAAGGATCAAACAAGAAAGCAGCAAACTAGTTTAGTAGAAAGAAGATGAGCATTCAGACACCCAGGACTTTCAGCCCACTTCCCACACACAATACAGAAGTCCCCCAATGCAAACTCATGTTGAGCTGTATTCACTTCCTCTGTGCACAGCAGTCTCCTCTGCCAAGATCTGCTCGGCCTGCTTCATATAAAGTTCTTTTTGACAACTCTCAAAGACAGGGGAACTGCTAAGGACTGTGAGCCCATCACTTCACTACAGCATCCAACCCCCAGCGGGCACACCAAGCAGTGACATGGCAGACCGTTTCTGCACAGCACTCAGGATAGGTTTTTGCTTAAACAACCAAGGATGGCCCCAGAGGCGGGGGGGGGGGGGAGGCTGATGCCTGGATTCCACACCGATGCCAGTCGGATCCAAGTTCTGCTCCTAAAAGAGCTGCCAGCCCCACCGGGGGCTCAGCTGGCTCCCAATTTGTCAAGAACACCTCTCCTCTCCCCTCCCTTTTGTTGGCTGGCATACCAGCATCTGTACCAAACGGGATTAAACCGTGATAACCTTACTGATTCAATTCTTACACATTCGTTTTGTATTTTTTATATGTATATTTTTAAATGAACAGTGCAATACCTATAACATGTGGAAATTACATAGAAAACTACAATCTTTGCTTTTTCTTGTATAAAAATCCAAAGCCTTTGAAAAATTCATCCATAAGAACTAAGTCCTTATATGCAAAACGTTCATCAAATGGGAAGTCTTCTTAAGGAGGAGAAGATACATTTCACACCTCATTAAAGGTAAAGGTTCCCTTGCTTGAAAGCCAGTCGAGTCCGACTCTAGGGTTGCGGTGCTCATCTCCGTTTCAAAGCCGAAGAGCCAGCGCTGTCCGAAGACGTTTCCGTGGTCATGTGGCTGGCATGACTAAACACCGAGGCGCGCGGAACGTTGTTACCTTCCCACCAAAGTGGTACCTATTTATCTAGTTGCAATTTCTTGCTTTCGAACTGCTAGGTTGGCAGGAGCTGGAACTAGAGATGGGAGCTCACTCCGTCATGCGCCAACCCAGGTCTCGAACTGCTGAACTACTGACCTTTCACAGCCTGCAGTTCAGCGTCTTAATCACTTGAGCCACCGCAGCTCCCTTCACACCTCATTAGTGTATCCTAATTAGAAGAATGTCAGATCCCACTGACACGGAAGCCAGCATAAAGCCGTGTTTCAAAGATTTTTTCAGAGCAGGAAAAATTCAGGATACAAGCATCATATTTTGCACTATTAAAAACATGTCAAAATGTTAAACAAGGCTACATATCCAACCTTACAGTGTTTTACAATATTTTACAGAATTATGCTTACAATTAATAGCAGCAATTTAAACATGAGAACTTTCTCTGATGCAGCACCCTTCCAGGGAGGCTGGTGGAACAACAGACTCCCATTGCAACTATTTGAAACAAACCCATGAATCATTGAAAACCGCTGGAAGGTCACATAACAGACTCTATCAGCATCCTAATGTATTTATCAGGGGGGCACTCAAGCCAAACCATTTGCCCACCTCCACTCTTAACAAGGAGCTGCAGTGGCTCAAGTGGTTAAGACGCTGAACTGCAGGCTGTGGAAGGTCAGTAGTTCAGCAGTTCGAGACCCGGGTGCCACACGATGGAGTGAGCTCCCATCTCTAGTTCCAGCTCCTGCCAACCTAGCAGTTCGAAAGCAAGAAATTGCAAGTAGATAAATAAGTACCACTTCGGTGGGAGGGTAACAGCATTCTGTGTGCCTTGGTGTCGTTCCGTGCGCGGCCACATGACCACGGAAATGTCTTCGGACAGCGCTGGCTCTTCGGCTTTCAAACGGAGATGAGCACCGCAACCCTAGAGTCGGATTTGACTGGCTTTCGAGCAAGGGAACCTTTACTCTTAACAAGCATCCCAAGGTGCCCCCACAAGATGCAAGGACCACAAACTAAATAATTACCCATATCAGACCACTCCATTGAGAAAAGTCTGACAGCTTCCTTGTACAGGCAAGCTCCTTAGGTTGGAGGCCAGCACCTGAGGCTGGAGCAACTTCCTCCTGTGTAAAGCAGGAGTCACCCCATCACAGAAAGCATCTCTGGGCCACTTCTTAAGAGTCCATTTTAAGCAGCTAAAGATCATCCCTTAAACATCAGTTCTCCAAAGACAGACTTTGGTCAAAGTACTCCCTTAAAGGTTTATTAACGTTTTTTTGGCAAGGAACAGATGACAGTATCGGGCAGGGGAGACTGAGTGAGCATGAGCTGCAAACAGTTCCTTGACAGTGGTTTCTTCATTACGTGGGGATCGTCACAATTTTAAAAGCATGCTTTTTTCCCTTTAAAGCAACACAGGAGCAAGGGTGCTGACATTACAAAAGTTTCTAAAATGTTAAGTGGTGT